TATAAACAAGGAGGCGCGGCCGCCGCGGGGACGTGGCGCCTCGGGGCCCGGCCGGGGACCCCCGCATGCTCGCTTACCTCAACCTCCTCGGCTTCCTCCTCCCTCACCTCCTCCTCCTCCTCCTCCTTCTCCTCCTCCTCCTCCTCCGGCCACAGGCTCCCCCGCACCCCAAAGCCCCCAGCTACGGTTCTCAGCAGATGGGTGTTGGCGACGGGGCGCCCACCACTGCGCATGCCCGCAGTGCAGCCAGGAAGGAGGCGGGGCTTGCTTCCCTCCCATTGGACCACGGGGCTGAGCGACAGAGGTCGTCTCCCGCCCCCTCTTGTTCCAAGCAGGGGACCGGGGGTATCAGCAAAATGGCCAGGGAGGTATTTTGGGGGCCTGACATACAGATGGTGAACACCTTAGTTTCCGTGCAGAAAACCACACCAAACAACCGAGAGAAGGAAACGGAAGGCAGCTGTGTTTTTTAAGTGGTGATGCCCGCGGGCCTCCCTGGCCTCAGGTCTGCAGCCAGCCCTCTCAGCCCCTGTCTCTGCTTTCCTGACCCTTTACTCAGCAGCAGACGCTTTCACAGGTTCGGTAAAAAATGCGAACGCAAAGCAACAATCCAGCGGGAGCAATGAAAGCATAAGTAGTCACCGCCGCGTGCTCATTTAGCAGATAAGTCTTCAGAGCGTGCGAATCATTCTAAGCATCCTTGAAGGGCAGGGCATATTTCGCACTGGGTTTGAAAAAAGCAGAGAATCTTCCAGTAATCAATTTTCAAATAGAATGTAATTGTTAGATAGAAAGCGTCACTTCCTTCAGGTGGAAGAACGGCCTCACCAAACTAATTAGAAGGTAGATTGGCTTGGCCTTTGCTTATATTAAGGCAACACTGTTTTCTGAAAGCATCCTCAGGACATCAGAAGTCCTGATGCACTTAGGTGGGGGAAAAAAACAACAACACCCAAAATATTTTGAATTGGTACCACCTAAGCAAATTCTAGTTTGTTTGGTGCTATACATACATATGCTTAAGTACATAAATATGGTCAGCCAGGGACAAGAAACACAAAGATCTCTTGGTTTATCTTTCACTAAGAAATGGGAGAAAGAATTTTTTCTATTTCTCATCTTTATTGAAGAAAACGGCAGTGCAAGTGTGATAATAAGCAGCAACTTATACTCTATGCCTATAAAGAGGGAGCAATAGAGAGAGGCGGGCATGCTGGCCAAGCAGAAGCACACATTCCATATAAAGGCGCAGCATGATTCAGCTAGAGCTGCTGGTAGACTTCTAGGGATTTGGGCCCAATATAGTCAAATTATGTGCTTTGTCAAGATATAATGGAGCCTGGCCAGCGTGGCTCAGTGGTTGAGCGTTGACCTATGAACCAGGAGGTCATGGTTGAATTCCCAGTCAGGGCGGTCAGGGCACATGCCCAGGTTATAAGCTCGATCCCCAGTAGGGGGCCTGCAGGAGGCAACAGATCAATGACTCTCTCATCACTGGTGTTTCTCTCTCTCTCTCTGTCTCCCTTTCTCTTTCTGAAATCAATAAAAAATATATATATATGGAAATTCAGATTTTTATGTGGAATTTCTCCTTTTTTTTCAATATTCTTAAATTTGTATTAATCATTCTGGGATCAGATAAAATGTTTCAACCTCTGTAATAGACAATAGTGTAAACCATAGAGTTTTAAAGCTGGAGAGGCCTGTGTAGATCTAGCTCTACTTCCCCATTTTACATATTAAAGAAACTGAAACCAAAAGAAAATTCATCAAAATCACCCAAATGATTATGAGCAGCACAGGTCCAGATGACTTAATTCAGAACCTTGAGTACTTCCTGCCATAGCATTCATTCAGCAAATATTCATTGAAAATTTGTCATATGTCAAGTACTGTGTGGGGCATTGCAGATAATTAAGATGACTAGGGTATTTTCCTTCAAGGAGTGAGATCCTTCCCAGGACACTGTAAGAGGTGCATGGTAAAGATTTGTACACAGCACCGTGGGATCCCAGCGATGATGATGCCTTACCGTAGAATCAGGGGCCATTCCAAAGGGGATGCTAACAGAATCTTGAAAGATGTGTAAGAGTTCACCGGGAAGACAAAATGGGAAAGGCAAATGGAAGAGCACATAAAAATTTATAAAACCATAGGCAAATGCAAACTCTTAGGTATAATAATAATAATATAATTTGGTGTATAATTTTATTTAGATAAAGCCTAGTGAGTGGGTTGGAGGGCCATGAGACTGGAAAGGCAAGTGCAGTTTATACAATGGAAAGACTTGTTATCATGTTAAATAGGAGTTGAACTACTAGAGGATTCTAAGCAAGGGTGTGTGTGATGTGCTCATAGTTCCGTGCACTGAAGAAAACTCTGGAGAAGTGGAGGAAATTAAAGGGAAACAACATTGAGACCAGAGAGAGAGAGAGATTGAGATTATGACTTGACCATTTAGGAGGCTGTTGCAGTAAGAATCTCCCCGATATCAGAGATATTGAAGGACTGCATGAAGGTTGGATGCATTGGAGAAGAAGAGGTGAGGACTGCTTTGAGAAATATTTAAGAGTTGGAAATCATTTCAATATGGAAAGTACGCCTACTCTTAGGATATGTGAAACAGCTGAACACAATGTAGCTGAAGTCTAAGTTTGTTAATAAAGTAATCGCACTTTGAGGATGGAGATGGTGAAATGAGAGAACAAAGTGACAACAAGTTTGATGTCGAACGTGTTATATTTTCATATTCAGGGGAAGTGATATCCAGTTTGAGGTGTTCAGTGTCCTACAAGTACTTGAAAATGTGGGGTGTAGTTCAGGATAGAGCTGTGGTTGCAGCTATGGAAAGAGATGAGCTAACTCATTCTAAGGATGGAATGTGATGAACTTTCTATGTTTAAGGAGGGCAGAGGGGGGGAAATAACAGCCTTAAAAAGAAGTAATCAGAGAAATAGGAAATAAACCAGGAAAAAGTAAACTAAGGAAGGAAGGAGGACATTTCCAAAGGAGGTAATGATCTATGATATTTCATGTCACAGGAAGTTCAAGTGAATTAGGAACTGGAACTTGTGGATTGGACTTGAGAAGAAGTGGCGGTGAATTTAGGAAGAGGCATCTCAATCACTCAAGGAACTGTCATGCAAAGAAGTTACATCTACAGAAGTTCTGGTGCCTTCTCCAAACATCCCTTCACATTGCCTTTGGCAGAAGCCTGGACTGCAGGAGGGGCAAGTGCAATGGGCCGGAGGCTATGCAGCCTGCCAGGTTAGTGAGGGGACTGGAACCAATGCCCGGCTGTCTGAATTCTCTTCTTGGACCCCTTCCAATTTCTCTCGTTTTAAAATATGTTATGAGAGGATTCCTTCCAGGCCTTTTGAAAACTAAGAATAGATTTCACTTCTTTGTATTCAAATGGAAAAATATGGGTATGGTTTAGGTATGCCTTGGACCCAGTAGGACTCAAAAATTCTGCTGATTTAACATGTCCTCCCCACCCCACCCCCAAATTCTGTATATTTGGGGGAGATACCTATGTCTGAAGGCTTGTGATTTGGATTTTTCAAAGCTAGTCATTTTTGGGATTTTGGTATTTTGGAAAGATTTTGATGGGCAATCAGAAGTCAGTCCTTGAGTGGGAATTAATCTGTGTATTTATGATGTCCCTATTAAAATACCACTGAAATAACCTCTGCCGTGCAGGATGGGGTACTCTCCACTGCTGTATCTCCAGTGTTTGGAGTAGCAATTCTGGTGAATGGAAGGAGATAATTGTCTGTTTATGTAATAGTTTCCGAACTAAAAATATTTTTTAAATGACCACATATGTGACCTTTTGGGAGAGCCAGAGAAGTAAAAGACACAAGAAAGAAAATACAGCAAGACAAGGAATTTATGGATAAGAGAGAGGTACAGGTTGACTTGTGAAAGTTTGTGTTTGATTTATAATACAAACCCACAGCTGTTTTATGAAATCTGTGCTAGATTAAAAGGCAGCTTAAGTTAATATCTAATAAACAAGAGTTTGTTCTGCTTTGTTGCCTACTTTTAAGCAACTCCCAGCTCTGTCTGCAGTCTGCTTGTTTTCTAAGACCACACAGGGGCCTGGTAATATGCCAAGCACAGACCAGACGTTGCTCTGACTTTTAAACATAGAGGTAAGAGATAGGCATCCCATAGAAACCTGACATGGACAATGATAGCAAGATGGTTGGCATGTTTGTTTCTAATTTTACCTCCTAAATATTGTTGATATGTGTCTTATTGTCTCTGTCCATCACTGTCTGTGGCCCAGTCCACGCCAACACCCTCCTCATTGGCATCTCTACCTCCAGTTCAATTCAACTTTGTTATCCTCAAAGCCACTGCTAAGTGCTTGAAGCACAAATCTGAAAACCTCACTCCAGGATTCATGCCACCCCTGTGATTGCAGCATACCCCTAAAGGTACTCCTTAAAAATTAAAGTGCTTGGTAACCTATGAACACAGACATTGGTATGGGGAAGGCCTGGGGGTGGGATGGATGCGGGGTGGAGGGGATCAATGAGGGTAAAAAGGGGACATCTGTAATATTTTCAACAATAAAGATTTAAAAAAATTAAAGTGCTTGGGCTTAGCAGGGTGGGGGGTTGTGTAGGTTGCAGGAAGGAAGCAGAGAAGGGCATTTATGTAGAAAGGTCTGGGAAACCATGGTACGATGCATTCTGGAAGATTTACAGTCACGTTTGTAAATTAAAGGTGCTGAGAAGTGACTGAGTAAAGAAACAAGTATAACTTTCTTTAACTCTGTATTTTCTGAGTGTATTTGACTGTAGAAAGTTTTTATACTTAACGACTGGAAGGACCTTCAGAATATGCATTATGGAAAATATTGCTCTCAAAATGAAGTCCAGTTACAAAATGAAATATGTGTTATTATGCTATTTTTAACGGTATATATAGAGAGAAAGAGAAACAATAACATCTGGAAGAAAATACATGCAGACTTTAACTTAAAAATTTTTTATTTTATATACTTATGAACTATTCAATTTTTTCTTTTAGCAAAATCCTTGTGGAAAAAATAAAGACATCTCTTATTTGAAAATAAATAAAAGATATGTAGATAGGGAATACCAT